CCCCCCCAATTTAGGCTACGACAAGACCACAAATTAGGAAAGTCAGAAGTAATTGACAGTAATGCAGCATCTCTCTCCATATAAGTATAAAATGCACAACAAGCAATTGTTTGGCCAAATGTCTTTCTTCACCAGTGCCATTTTGCATGGTGAGATTTCAGTTCCAAAACCACAGATTAGCCATGGTCTACTTTTTTTTCCCTCATCTCTGCATGCACCACCTTCCCTGATAAGATAACATTAATACTGGAGACAGAAATGCTGATTCTTCCTCTCCTCCTCTCTCAGATCTCAGGTCCAGGAAACAATTTAATGCCACCGTCTGACGTGGCCCTACGGCAAGACCCAACCCTGTGGGCCAAGACTCCAGCTCTTGATTATCTGCTGGCTGATAAGAGCAGGCTGGGCCAGGAGAAGAGGGGAAGAAGCCCACTGGGCAGATGTGCGAGGAGAAGGTAAGAGAAAACTTTTGTTTCTTCATCGTTGGTGGGAATCTTTTCCTTCCAAGCTAAAAGAGTGGTACAGAGCCTTCATATACAATTCTCAAATCCAGTGGGATTTATTCTCAAGTCATCAGACAGTTCTGTACTACAAGTATACAGCAGAGATATTTTTGTCAGGGTGGTGCATCTTGCATGAAAACTGCAAATTTCAATTTATTTATTTTTTTAAAAAAAGAAGAGCTTTAGAATTTAACCCTTCTGCTTAATTATAGCGTAATTACTGGCTCGGTAATTCTGGGATTTGAAGTCCACAGGATGTAAAGTCCACGCGGTTGCCCACCCCTGCCTACATTTTTTTAAATCTTTTATGGACAGGAAGCTCAAGGGAGAATATAGATTCTGACCTAAACTGACCCATTCTTATCTATTGGGGTGGCAAAAGAAAATGTATTTTTCCCTGGCGCAGTGAAGCCAGCTCTTGTCTGAAAGGGGATTCTAACCCAGAGAGAACTTCTAATCCAGGAAAGCAAACACCTTCTCATACCCAAGCCTGATCCAATTTATCTAACCAGATGCCTGGGTCTGAGAAGAGAGGAGCCAGCAGAGTTTTCACGTCATGCTTGGCTACATTTCTTTGAGGCACCAGGCTGATTATTTCTGAAAGCAGGACGCTGCATCTCCGCTTGTGTGACTTCGGGATTCAGACTCACCCGTTGCTGAATAAGGGCGTGTTTATGCTCCATTTCCCTCTTCTCCACAGCCGAGTCGATCACCAACTGGTCCAGCTTCAAGGGTGAATGGGGAGAAACGTAAGGCAGAGGGAGACAGACTTATTTTCTGCTCTCTCAATTTCTCTCTCTCTCTCGGGCCAAGCAGAACTATCTTTTTCCCAGTGACCACATGAGACCCCACGGTGGGCAAGGCTAAAAGTCACATAGGTAGGGGTAGCCCAAAGCATACCCTCCCTTCTCTCCCCCCATGCAGTAGAGTGTAGGGAAAGGAAGGAAGGAAGGAAGGAAGAAAGAAAGAAAGAAAGAAAGAAAGAAAGAAAGAAAGAAAGAAAGAAAGAAAGAAAGAAAGAAAGAAAGAAAGAAAAAAGAAAGAAAGAAAGAAAGAAAAGAAAGAGAAGGAAGAAAGAAAAGAATGAGAGAAAGAAAGAGAAAGAAAGAGAAAGAAAGAAAGAAAGAAGAAAGAAAGAAAGAAAAAAGAAAGAAAGAAAAGAAAGAGAAGGAAGAAAGAAAAGAATGAGAGAAAAAAAGAGAAAGAAAGAAAGAAAGAAAGAAAGAAAGAAAGAAAGAAAGAAAGAAAGAAAGAAAGGATTTCAAACCAATATCTGGAAAATTGAAAGAAAGAAAGAAAGAAAGAAAGAAAGAAAGAAAGAAAGAAAGAAAGAAAGANNAACACTGACTGGATTTTTTTTCCCCTAAGCCTACTGAAAGATGCTTCCATTTAATTAAACTACGGGATGTCGGGAGCCAAGCGAAGTGCACGCCAACTAGCTTAGCTGCCCTTTGGGTGACCCCAAGGACCCCAACAGCAATCCAGGAACGGTATGGGCAGCTGCCAAGGAAAAACTACCGGCTGAAGGACCAGGCAACCTTACTTTCTTGGCGTCTTCTCTTGAACTCAGGTGAGGAACATGAGTCGGTCTCAAGAGGAAGGTCCAGAGCTGAAGGCCTGAAGCTCAACAGCCAGTGGACAAAGGGCGGAGCCTTGAAATTGTACATGAGTCTCCTAAAGTTCTTTCCTTCCACAACTCTCTTTTGGCCTTTAGTTCCCTTCACCCAGCTTTGACACACACTTTTATTCCTCCCCATCTCCTTTCCCTGGCTTTGGTTTTCTACAATTTCACACACACAGACACACACACACACACACAAAAACACATGGAAGACTCAATTGCTTCCTCACCTCAGTGGCTAGTTTCTTCATGTAAGGATCCAATTCGTGCAGGAGGCTGTAACCTTGCTGGAAAAAGGTGTATTGGGCGTGCATAAAGGAAAGCATCTGCAAGGAAGACAGGAAGTCCGTTTACGACCCACTCCTAGGGGACCTGTGGCCCTTTGGGGCACTTCTGTGTATCTGAGGCCTTCTCCGAAAAGGGAAGAAATGGAAATGCCTCTTCCAAGGTGGATCTAGAGAGGCATTCCCTTGAGGGGGAAAGGGAGATCTCGCTCTTAAAATGAGGCTGGAAGATTTCCCTCCAGGACACGGAGGAGGTCCTCTTCTCGGAGAAGGCCACCCAAACCATCCTCTCCTCCATGTGTGGGAGAGGTTTAATCTGGTTTACAGCCTCCCCACTGATGAACCCTTTATCATCATTTGTAGGTTAGCTGCGGGGCGGGGAAGCAAGAAGGATGAGCTTAATAACATTCTTACGGCATCCAGAATTTCGAATTTCTTCTTGGCCTGGAGAACGTTGATCTGTAATGAAACAAAAATGGGTGAGGCTAAATTTCGCCAAGGGCCAACAAATCTGAAATAAACGAGAGGGATCACTATAAATTAAAATTTCTAATACCAATCTGTAAAAAATAAATAAATATCAGCTCAACATTTTTGCTGTACGGTCTTGGATGCTCTTGATAAACGGAACTGGACGAGCCAAAGACGGCAGAATCTACACGAACATTTTATTGCCATGTTTGGCTTTGCAGAAGTGTGAAGGAGGTGTGTGGGGGGCTAAAAACAGTCCAGTCACAATGTTCAGAGCACAGTCCTGAACAAAGTTTTTACCACAAGTCCCAAAGTGTTACTTTCTTGTTGGATCCCCTTGAATTCAAGTAGTAATAATAATAGTAATAATAAAGATGGAAGGGACCTTGGAGGTCATCTAGTCCAACCCCCTGCTCAGGCAGGAAACCCTACACCATTTCGGACAAATGGCTGTCCAGACTCTTCTTAAAAACATTCAGTGTTGGAGCATGCATAGCTTCTAGAGGCAGGTTGTTCCACTGGTTAATTATTCTGTCAATTTCTCCTTAGTTCTAGGTTGCTTCTCTCTTTTGTTAGTTTCCATCCGTTGCTTCTTGTCCTGCCTTCAGATACTTTGAAGAAGAGCTTGACTCCCTCTTCTTTGGGGCAGCCCCTGAGATATTGGAACACTGTTATCATGTCTGCCCTCGTCCTTCTCTTCATTAAACTAGACAGACCCAATTCCAGCAGCCGTTCCTTATATTGATTCCATTTGGAAAATCCACCCACATTGACCACTGAAGCCGATTTGGCAGAAGCAGTAAACCAGAAGAGGTGGGAGGTCATCTACCTGTGACCCTTGAAGTGAGCAATTCATAATAGATGGGCAGATCCATCAACATCTATTAAACAGGAGCATAGACAGTACAGTCTCCTGGTTAAAAAGGGAGATGACAGCTAAGTAACAAGCATTAGAGACAAAGAAGAGCAGAACATGATTTTAATGGTTTGATTCTACTCTGGCTGCCTTTAAAATGGGAAAGGGAACGCAGATTGTTAGAATACAACTCCCTTCAGCCACTGCCAGCATGGCCAATATCCGGAATGACGGCAATTGTAGTAGTGGAACCCTTTCCGGCAGGCTACTAAGCTAAAATGGACTGTTCAACCAGGCTTTAAAAAAAAAATAAAAATGCTTCCAGGAGCTAAAACAGCTGTCCCCTCCCTTTTGGTCAGCAGCAGGTTATCCGATGCAGAGAATGGTTCAAGGTTCCTGGTTTTTTTGCTTCCCAGTGTTTTCCCCAGAGCCAGTTTGCTGCTCATTCCTACAAATCCACAGGATATGACTCCACATGCTGTCCCAGGATGAGACAGAAGGGGTTGGCAGATGGCTCCCTTTTACAAGGGGGGGAGCGGAGAAGGGAGGGCAGCGAAGCCCCTTGGATCAATATTAGCCTGGAATCTAGGGTGGGGTGAAGTAGCGGAAAGCCAGGAAAAGACAACTCAGTCCAGAGACCGTTTCAGATACGACAACATATCCAGATCCACATTAAGAGGAAGCCGGATAAGGAAGTAAAACGATCATATTAAGCCCGATTCAGCCCAATTTATAGCAAACATGTGGGTCAGGAACTGTTTCCTATTTCCTGTCTCTTGCTCAACGGAGTGGAGTTTTCCAACCTGGGACTTCCCCCCCCAACCCACAAAAAGTTGGGCTTCTTTCCAAAGCACCGTGTTTTTCAAAAAGCAACGCTCACGCTAATGCCAAAGCGGGCCAAAGGATGAAAACTCAAGGGGAGAACAAAACAGTCCGTCTTGAAAGGAACAGCTTCAGCGCGTCCGCCTAATTTCCAGGAAGCCACCTTAAAAAACTCACCTGCAAGACGTAATCCAGGGCCAAGTGCCGGAAGCATTTCCTGGTGATGGTCAAGGTGCCCGTGGCCTCTTCTACTTCGTGGGGCTTGTGCCGCGGGGCTTGGGCATTCTTGACCAAGGCGATCTCCATGTCTTCTCGGACTTTATCAAACTGTTTTTTGGTCTCCTTAAACTTGCGGACATCCCTGCAAAAAGCAAAGCAAAAGCAAGGTGGTGGCCGTTAGCGTTCTTGACTTCAGCAGCCCACTCAACATCAAAAATGGCCAGGGGGACCAGATACTCACTCCTTCACAAAGTTGTTCAACTGTTGCCGGACAGACCTCTGAGCTTGGTCGAAAAGGATCTAACGATAGAGGAAAGAGCAAGCAGAGAAGGGGGGAAAAAGCAAGTAAGGCCATCAAAAAGCATTGAATTCTGGATTGTTCCAGCAATCCCATGGTTTTTAAATGGAGGACTGTTAACATAAGCCATTTGCTAAAAGACAAAATAAGTGTCCTGTTGGATCTAGTCCACAGCACTAAGCATATGTCTCGGAGGAGCCCACAAGTAGAACAATCAATAGCAGTGCCCCATTTTGTTCCCCCCCCACAGCATTACTTAGAGATAGACTACTTCTAAGCCTGGAAGTTCCAGGCCTAATTGTCCTCATTCTATTTTCCACAAGGGAATGCCCATTGATTAATTGTCCAAAGAAGGGGTGCCTTTGGTCCACTCCAAAATATACGACACCCTGCCCCACTGAATTACAATTTTTATTTGTATGTCTACTGATAAAAAGGATACGCTGCTGTTCTGTCTGGAAGGCAGCCAAACCAGCTAATAAACCAACAACCAGCAGTTAAAATACCATTAATTGATTGTCAGCCGCCCTGAGTCCGCAAGGAGAAGGGCGGGATATAAATTCGAATAATAAAATAAATAAAATAAAATAAAAAAAAAAAAACAGCTTTAAAAACAAAAATCAATCAAGAAATTGAAGGGGATAAACAAAACCAGTTGCATTCCCCACCTTTTCCTATAGAGGGCACCCTCATTCCAGAGGCCAATATCTTTGCTGGCCCCAGCTGTTTCTAATTTGTCGAAATCTGCGATGACGGCGTATTTAATACCTTTTCATTTCTTTTACTTATTCGACCATCAAACCTTTTCTCAACATCTTAATGTTTCTAGGCCAACTTCAAAGGCTATTTAACCCATAGCAAATATTTCTTTTTAATTTGGTTTTAAATTAGGTATTTATTGTAGCATTGGTTTTATAAGGCTGTCAGCCGCCCTGAGTCCGGTAAGGAGAAGGGCGGGATATAAATCGAATAAATAAATAAATAAAATAAAATAAATAACCCGTCCTGTCTTCTCCTGCTTTTTATATTAATATAATGCTACTTTCTTTTTGTCTTTTTAAATCCTTTCTTTTTTTTTATAAGAAGGTGGGAACAATTCTCCAGTTTCAACTTCCAGCCAGCCTCCAGCCCCCACATTAGGTTTCTGGCTCCTGTCATTTTTCTGGCAACGGGATAGAAGCAGTATCCCCTTGCCTTGTTCCGGAAGCTGCTTCTTGGGGCGTTCGTATTGGCTTTCCCTCCCAAAACTGAACCTGGTCCTACTTTTTCGAGGCTAACTTGGCCACAGAGCTAGTACCCACACCAAGCGGGGTCTGTGGGTTTTCTTCAGAAAAGAAGAGAAAAATATCCTTTTTCTCCTCCCACAAATTCTTTTGACTTCTGAAAACTCCAGTATCCCCCTGGGTACATGCACACACTTTCCTCCTCTGTGCCCCAAAGCTCTGGCATTCACATCCTCCACACTTGAAATAACACAAATGTTTTGTTTATTCAAGTATGGTTTTCCTGCGATATGATTTGGAAAAAAAATCCTTCAAAAGACAAGCCTTTTGCGAGCAGAGGCCCGGAGCACCCATCATCCTGCTGGCAAAGGGGTACACAGGCAATTACACACCCTTGAAGTCTTTGGCCAAGGGGAATCTAGCCCAAGAGCTTGAAAAATGGTCCTGAGTGGGTTTTTAAACGTAAACAGACGCAAGCATTTACGAAGGTTGAAAGACCACCCAGCTTGCCTTTTGCCATTTTTGCCCTGGTGATGCGGGTGAAAATCAGACACGAAGTCTATGCCCAAAGATTCCAACAGCACAGGGATGCCTAACACAATTGCAAGATAGTTCGTCGCAACCATAAAGGGAAAAAGTTCATTTTCACCTCCAGGTGAAGAAATCTTCAAAAACAATTTGACTAATTTCCATCCTTTTCCAGACCTAGGTCATCTTCTTCAGAAAGGTTAAGATAAAAGAAGGGATGTTTGCTGAGGATTCTCCATTCTGAGATTCAGACTGAGATTGAGCAAACTGAGAATCTACAGGCCTGCATTTCTGTCCAATCCACCTATAGCCACATCTAGACCCATCGCTCCCATCTTGGCTGCTGAAGATGACAAACAGGAGATGGCAGTAGACTGAAGACATTGCGAAAGAGCAGAATGTTGTTGTTTACGGGTCCCGATTTCAACAAATCCATCAGCTTCAGGCAGCCAAATGGGAGGGTTGGCACAGGGCAAAAATCTCCATTGCTTCCACACACTAATTTCCAGTCCTTTCTTCTTACTCAGAATTGGCTTCTTCTCCCGAAGTCCACTAAATCACGGGCACACCATTTTTGAGGGGTTTAATGATCTGGTTTAATTTAATTGAAACACAGATGTAGGATGACTAGGCTGAGCCCGAGGGAGGGAGGGGTCAAATGCATCATCAGTCATGAGTTCCTGCACGCCCACAAGGAATCTAACTCCAGCCCACCTTGAATTCCTTTCTATTCTTAATTCCCCACTCAATTTCCCTTAACTGTTAGTAATTCAGTAGATTCTTGTAGAGAGCTTAAGCTTGCAATAAATATTTATACCCATTTGAATTGCCCGAATCTTCTGACAACAATTGACAACAATTCAAGAAAACAATGACTTGGGAAAAGTTCACAAGTGGAACAAATAGGAAAAACTGACAACATTTTCCTACTTAATATTAGAATGCCACAGTTAACCCAGACTTCTTAATTAACCTGTGGAACTCTCCATCCCACAGTGGAACGATGGTGTCCAGGTTAGATGATTTAAACTAGCAAGCAGGGTAAAGATGTTCAACTCAGTTCTGGAACAGCACAAGAGTTCACAAAAGTGATTTGCGAAAAATTGTGGGATTTTTTAAAAAATCCTACTTCCCATCCACCACACGGATAAAAGTCACAGAAACAGCTATTTGAAAGATCGGCTTTCAAACTTCGATAAGATCACCTAGAGATAATTTGCAGAGAGGTGAATATTATTTCCCCCCAAAAAAGAATTAAATATTTATATTTAAAAAGAACTTGGCTTCACCTTAAAAAAAAAAAAAAAACCCCGATGCTTTTTAAACTTCTCAAGTCGTTTTTTTGGCTTCCCAACTAGACTTGGAGCTGATTGTATAAAATAAAAGTTTCCAGAAAGTCTGTTTCTTTTGCCCACCCAGCTCCAAAGTAATCACCAAGATTTTAGGATGTGAATCACTCAGCACTGGTCACTTTAGATGGAGATGTTCCTCTCAGATTAACTCCCGGCTCCAAGACCGGCCCAATCATAAAGTCAACCTAAGCCAGTCTTGGGGTGCCAAAATTTCAGGATGGCATCACACAATATTTTTCCAGTGAGGGCAGTGGGGGTGAAAGTGGAACCAATTAACTAGAAAGCTTGCCGTTCTCTTAAAAAAAAACCCCTCTTTATTTTGTAGAAGTAATGGTTCATCTTCCGTGTTTTTTACATTCTTTTGGGAGTGCGTGTCCCCAGTGTTAGCGATTTCAGCTTCAGAAGAACAAGAAACATAAATTAGCTTCCGAGCTGATGTCTCACATAGCATTACTTCATTGCCTAAGTTGCAACAGCTAAAAATAAGCTAAAAATAATCAATCTGTATTCATTAGAAGATTTAGAAGAGATGTTTCTGGGTATTCTTCTGCTCAAGCCAGAGTTAAACTGATCATAGGTCCTACTTTTTACTGTCTAGAAGACCAGGGGTGTCCAACCTTGGCAACTTGAAGATTTGTGGACTTCCAATTCCCAGAATTCCCCAGCCAACCATTTCATGTTGGCTGGGGAATTCTGGGAGTCGAAGCCCACAAGTCTTCAAGTTGCCAAGGATGGACACCCCTGGTCTAGACTAAACCAGCTTCTTTGTTGCTCTTCAAAAGAGTGCAGAGAACACAATAAAGATGATTAAGGGGCTGGAGGCTAAAACATACGAAGAACGGTTGCAGGAATTGGGTATGGATAGTCTAGTGAAGAGAAGGACGAGAGGTGGCATGATAGCAGTGTGCCAATATCTGAGGGGCTGCCCCAAAGAAGAGGGGGTCAACCTATTTTCCAAAGCCCCTGAAGGTAGGACAAGAAGCAACGGATGGAAGCTAACCAAGGAGAGAAGCAACCTAGAACTAAGGAGAAACTCCCTGACAGCTAGAACAATTAATCAGTGGAACTGGGTTGTCTCCAGAAGTTGTGGGTGCTCCATCACTGGAGGTTTTTAAGAAGAGATTGGACAAGCATTTGTCTGAAATGGTGTAAGGTTTCCTGCTTGAGCAGGGAGAGGGTTGGGACTAGAAGATTTGCAGTATCCCTTCCAACTCTGTTATTCGGTTATGTTCCCCAGCCTGGCGCTCTCTCATGCCTGCTCACTGAATCATAAGTGGGCTGAGAGTAGTAATTCACACAGAGTTGCAATGGATCTCCTCCTTTAAGAAAAGGGAGTACTCTAAAATGGGGGTATCAACCCAAAGGGCATAACAAACAAAATCAACCGCTCACCCTCCTCCTTGTAGTTTTGTTAGAGGCAGCTTAGGGGGAAACATTCAGAGAGATGCCAGGTAGCCTCCCCACGTGGCTGATGGTTTCACACAATGCAAACCTTTCAGAACAGTCTTTTGGTTTTCTTTAGAAAGCAGGACGCGTCTTTTAATGCTTCTCCATCCAACAAAGGTTAAAGCGTGCCTACAGACCCATCCAGCAGCCAGAAAACCAGCCCACCAGTTGCAGCCCTTCTTCCTGGCATGCTAACTTTCTGCAAGCAAAGATTCCTTGAGTATTGGGGCCATCAATTCCCCACCTGCAGGGACTTTAATAGCATCCTTTGGTTGTTTGTCCATTCATTATTCTTCCTGGTTTTTTTTTTCAGTGAAGGTATCAAAGCAAGAATATACAGTATTCAGCCCACATGAATGTCTTCCAGACAAGAGTTCAGCCTCAGTGGAGGATTCACCCTTTATTTGTTTAAACTGGGAGCTGCAGGGCCACTGATAACTGGTTTTTTTATCATCCTGAAGGGTAGAAGAGTTACAGTCCTTTTCTAGAGTTTTGCTTAACAATTCTGCCTCTCTAATTTATGCCCCTTTTTTTCTCTTTCTTTAACTGTATACAATAGTTTCTTGTACAGTATACAATACACATGACAGAAGGTTTATAAGGGGGAAAAGGGAAGGGGCTTCAGAAAAGGGTTCCGTCCTTGCCAGGATCTCGCAGAAGGTCCAACCCTATCAGAGCAGACTTGCTAAGGTCTCTTTTTCTCTTTCTCTTTTCTCCACTCCAGCCCACTCCTCGTGCCAGCGTCGGCCGCGAGCAAAAATAAACGTACAGCCGCAGGACTCCATCGATGCCCTCCCAGCAAGCACCAGAAGAGCAGAAGCCCCACCAAGCTAATCAAATTAAGCGTTTGGAAGCCGAGTCAGCCTACAGACCTCTTAAGAGCGCATCACCCCCTTGTGGAATTAGTCTGCTCTGAGTGAGCGAGCCACGGGGAGCCGAAGAATTGTGCCCTGTTCTGATTCCCTAGCAAGCGGGCAGATTTCTCCTGCAACTGTTTCCCAGGCTGTAGAGAGAGGGGATTTGACACTCACACAGGCGGCAAAGTCCACCTTCCATGGGGATAGGTACAAGGGGCCTTGCTCGAGAAGAAGCCGTGGAACCAGTTATCTCCAAAGAGGGACATCCTGGAACTCATTCTTTTGCATGGCTGGCCTGCGCCCGGGGCAGAAGGAGACAGAGGCGTCCCCCCCCCCCCAGCAAAGAGGGAGAAATCCTGGCTTCCCTTGCACTCACCCAGGCACCCACAAGTGCCCTGGCGGTGCCGATTCCCCACTCCCCTCGCCGCATTCTGCTCCTGAATCTCCACTGTTGCCATGACAGATGTTCAGAAGTCCTGGGGGAAGAATTTTCAACTGGATTTCCCCCGTCCTCGCAGAGGAAACGGACGGACGGCAACCGCAAAGCGGGCCTGCAGAAATTAAAAGCCTGGATTGCTTTGCATTTCCTTCCCTTTCGGAATCCAGTTAAGGAAAGGAAGCCCTCCCCCCCCTTTTTTTTTTTTGCCCCTTTTCTCTCAGTGACAGATTTTATACCGTCCCTTCCCTGCCTCCAGAGACCGATTTCAATCCATCAACATAAGGGGGGTGGGGGGAGAGGAAAAACCAAGGCTCCACCCTGCGCAGACCGACTAACCCCTGGGAGCAAAATCTTCTCCTTTTCCCCTCCCAAGAGCTAGCATTAGGAAGGCTCAGCAGGTGAGGGAGACAGACCTGAAGCCGACGTTTCCTCTCAAAACCGGCAGAGGTCCGATTCAGTCGTCGAAGATCCCTTGGGTAGGGGTTCGGGACGGGGCTACTTGATTACCCACTCAATGTGTTTACATGAAACTCCAAGTTTTACGTTGTGTGCATACAGTAAACCAGCCCCCCCCCGGTGGTGTTTCCAAAGTAGACCTGATTTTTCCCCCCTCTCCCTTTCTTAAGATCTTAAAAAGCGATGTGTCTATCTCTTAATCAGAGGGGGATGTCCCGTTACCTCAAGAGGGAGGGGGCTCCTGATGTCACAGAAATGCTAACTTATAAATCAGAATATCACATTTCTAGAGAAGGATAGAGAAAGGGGAGAGACTGTCCTGGGGGAAAAAACAACAACTATTTGGTCATTAGGAGTCCTCGTCTGACTTCAAGACACATAATAATTCAATCAGAGAAGGATATGGAATAGTCTGGCCTAGGGAGAATTTTAAATAGGGACAATTTTAATTCGAATCTTAATAACTATACAGCGACAAATATTTGGTTTTTAATTGGTTTTATGGGGGATGGCGTTTGTGTGTTTTAATATGCTGTAAGCCGCCCTGAGTCCTATAGGGAGAAGGGCGGCATATAAGTTTATGTAAAATAAAAATAAAAAATAAAAATAAATAAAATAAATAAAAATTAAAAGGGCTTGGAAAAGGATCAGGAAAATATGAGCAAACTTTCAAAGACAGGACTATAATGTGGGGACATAATATGGGGACATTTCAGTGGGCTGTGAGAGGTTCTCCTTTTTAATTAATCCACTAATTAAAATCTGAAACAATGGAAAGGGAAAAATATCCCAAATGTTTCACCTTTTATTTTCCTTTTTATCTGGGCATGCGCTTCAAGGTGCTGACTATCATCTTTAAGGCGCTCCATGGCAGCGGACCTGGTTACCTTCGAGACCGCCTCCTGCCACAGATTACCTCCCATCGGCCTGTACGCTCCCACAGGGTGGGTCTCCTCGGGGTGCCGTCGGCCAGACAGTGCCGGCTGGCGACCCCAAGGGGGAGGGCCTTCTCTGTGGGAGCTCCCACCCTCTGGAATGAGCTGCCCCCAGAGATCAGGGTGATCCCTGATCTCCCTTCCTTCCGCCGCGCCCTCAAGACATGGCTGTTCCAACAAGCAGGATTGGCCTAGGATAATTTTTAAGAGGGGTTTTTTAGAGGGGTTTTTAATTATATTTTAATCAGACAATTTAAATATTTCATTTTAATTAATTTTAACTTTGTGATTGTTAGTGGTGTTTTTAATTGATTGTCAGCCGCCCTGAGTCCGCAAGGAGAAGGGCGGGATATAAATTCGAATAATAAATAAATAAATAAATAAATAAATAAATAAAAGAGGCAGAAAAAGAGTGCTGGTTATATAGTTTACAGCAGGGATCTCCAAGCTCGGCAACCTTAAGGCCTGTGGACTTCCAACTCCCAGAATTCCCCAGCCAGCAGGGAATTCTGGGAGCTGAAGTCCACAGGTCTTAAAGTGGTCAAGGTTGGAGACCCTTGGTATGTAGAGTACTGACTGGGGTACACAGAAAAACAGCAGAATGTTGTTAACATCATTTGGGGAGAGGATTTCTATTTGTCCACCCAAAGTATTAGATCCTCCTCCTTCCTTCACCTTTTTCTCACCATACCTAGAATGTGGGTTCACCGATTTCAACGGATCTGAAAAGGATCCACTGCAGGGTCTAGCAAGAAAAAGATCAGCCTATCTTCTGACCAAATAGTTAACATACCCCCATCTTACCCAGGAAAATTTTTTTGTCGACGTATTTTTACATATAAATTTGTGAGTCGCGTGACGGGAATGTTCGATTACTTTAAGTTCTGAGGTCTACAAAAAATCTGCCATCCTTCTAGGTCAAAAAGGTATTCTATGCTTTTTAAGTCGATCCCTGTCACAACCGGTAGAGTTCACCCCACATGAAGATCAAAGGGATCTCTTATTACACACCCCTTCCCCGATTATCTGGCTGTTGGGCTAGAGAGATACTGGTCTACATCGACCCACTATTATGTTCTGGAACTCCTCATTCAGATGACTTCAAGAACATCCGTTGAACATCTCTGCACAGAAAGCAGCTTGGGAAAGGACGCCACTCACCATGTGATAGTTGACCATTTCCTGCAAACTGTCTCCAAATTTATCCAAGCATTCCTGCAGAAGGCAAAATATATATATATAATAATACAGGGGGGGCCTACTTCCATGCATCAGATATCTACAGAAAGGACCATTATCTGCATTGCAGCATCCCACCTCTCATATAGAATGGATGGATTGTAACTGAGGAACCCTCTATCAAGTGGTAGAGCGTATTCTGCTCGAAGGCTCGTTCCACGCAGAGCGTGTTATTTGACATGAAACTGCAGCCCCCCAAATGTAAAGGAGCCGCCCCTGGAGGGGTGTCCTAAAGCCCCCCCCCAAGCTCATCTCCTCCCCGTGCCTGTCTCCCCTCTCCCAAATAATGGATGCTCAATGACCTAGTTCAAGAGCCGCCAGCAGCTTCGCATTCTGCCTTGTTAGAAAACAACACAATTTCTTAAGGCATCCAATGCCTCAGATATTTTTAGCTACATACGGAATCTGTGGATGTGTGTGTGTGTGTGTGTGTGGCTTAATTGCGAGTTACAAAAGCCAAACATTTCATTTCTATTTATTCTTTTGCACCCAAAATGCAGGGAGCTAGGAATGTGTGTGTGGGATTCTTCCTCACCTTTTTTTTTTGTTGTGGTTGTTGTCGTTTGCTTGCAATTTTCAGGTATGACTTGGTGCCTTTATTTAGAACATTTTAACATTCATCGCAAACGTAAGCTTCAATATGCTTATTAAGTCACTGCTGGCCTACTAAGAACATGAATAATATTTGCATTTCTGGCCAGTGGGGGTGTGTTCAAACAACTCCAAATACGATTCCAAACATCAAATCTGTTCCTCAGATATAAAATCATATGTTGTTTTCAGATGACACATTTAACCCAGCAGGTGCTTTCACCCACCACCCTAACCTTGGTTGTGCTAACCAGAGTAAAATCTTTAGTAGCTTAACACATTGTGAACATCCATCTGTTTGCTTCCCCATGTTGTGCCAACACAGGAAATGGGTAAATTCAGTAAGTGGGTACAGCTATACTATTGACCTCAAAGGTTGAACCCTCCTGCAGTAAATCTATTACCTCTGCTTCTAAGACACCTGTCCTGCTATTGAAAGCCTGAGGACCTTCTTCCAAATATTTAATCAAAATCTATCTATCTATCTATCTATCTATCTATCTATCTATCTATCTATCTATCTATCTATCTATCTATCTATCTATCTATCTATCTATCTAATCTACCTACCTACCTACCTACCTACCTACCTACCTACCTATTTTAATTTCAACCTGCTCTGGAATAAAAGATAATAACATTATCCCATCTTCTTTCAGACAAGTCAAAACAATAGCGGGAAAATATCTTTATTCTATGGCTATCTGAGCATCCATCTTCCATCTGTCATCTTGTGCCTTTTTTCCCATCACCGTATCCCCCAGTAAAGACAAAATGGAACTGAATTCCAAATCTTGCAAGATCAGCAAATCTTAGGATCTCTCGGGGCCCTTAACCCCTGTGATTTCACATGAGAAGAATAAAACCATAACCTCATAGGATCTGCGTGTTTTTTTGTGAACGCTTCTGGCCAAAGTTTCTTTAGAAATGGCAAAGCTGTGTTTTCCAAACTTAACACCTTTTGAGCTGTGCGGACTTCAACCCCCAGAATTCCTCAGACAGTGTTCAGTTTGCTCTCTACTGTCGTAGAGTCGTAGTCTGTACCCAGTCTGTGAGAAAGGGAAACCTATCATCAAATCCGCAGCGGCAAGTCTGAACTCAATCATGCTGCGCTGGGTCAGCCTTTTGTACACGCCTCACAATTTCCAAGCTCTCATTTCTTACCGAGATCATTTCGTCCTTCTTGCACTGCTGGGAGAGGTCTCGCACGCCACCGACAAACTGTTTGTTGGTGATGATGTACGTTTTCCCGGCGTCGACCATGTTGCTGCATAGCTTTACCAGCTGAGAAAGAAAGAAGGAAAGAAGACCACCTGGTGATGACATGCCATTTTTATTTTATTTTTTAGTGTGGGAGCCAGTCCATCAGCCTTTAGCTCCCACATCAGTCCGGCAGGAGTAAATATGGTGAGCTTGCAACTGAACGGGAGCTGGGATTTATTGCCCAGCCAATGCTTATGTGCCATGGACACTCCAGGGGTTCGAACTACAATTCCCAGAATCCCTTGTTAAAGGAAATTGAATTCTAAACCTCTAGCGACTACCCCTGGAGCACAAGTGATAAATTATACCAGAAATTATATTCAGTTGTGTCCTAGGTTTGGGGGAAAGGCAGATTGGCAATTGCACCCTGGGAAAAAGACCCGACACTTGGAATCTTCCAAAAAAGTTTGATTTTAGACAAAAGGGCTTGCGAGGGCCAGACAAGAAATAAAATCTGAGTCCAGACCCTTTGCTCGCTCTGCTCCCAGCATCTGCCAAGGCAAGCCTAGGTTGCTGGCAGCCTCCTTTGCGCTGTTGCATCTGATTCCAGGGAACAAAAGCAAACAGATGCAGCTCCCGGTCACATCTGGCGGCCAGATGGGCAGTAGGGAGGCTCCCGAGTCAGCCTCTGGACGAGCAAGGCAAGCTCGGTCTTGCAACGTGGCAGTTTCTGCAGTGCGGTTTTGTTTTGACCAAAAAGCTAAGCAAAGCTGTACGTTATTTGCAACGGGAGCTCTTCTGAGGGAGGGGGGGGGAGCCCCGAAATGCAATTAGACGCTCACACTAATTGTGGCACATCTATCTCCCACAATCAAAAGCAGAGGTTTGGCAGAGGTGCGCTGTTTGGGAGAACCGCGTGTGCCAGCTGCCACACACACAATTTGCACTTAAGCAAATAAGTGTTTCCTGATTGGCTGCACCCATCTATTATTATTATTATTATTATTATTATTATTATTAATCATCATCATCATCACACAGTCAGCCAGATGTTCAGACTGGATTTGGCATTTTTGTCTGCCTGTCAAGTCCTTCCCAAGGACCTGGGATAGGCAGATGTGGATGTTGGATGGTATTACAGATATCGTCGCAGGATGGAAGCAGTTCCTATTATTATTATTATTTATTATTATTATTATTATTATTATTATTATTATTATTATTATTATTATTATTATTATTATATTGCACGCAGCCCAGCCTCAACCTTCCGCCTTCTGCATTGAGGGTGATCCCAACCCCTGGTTCTTCCCGCTGGCCAAGGCTTATGGGTTCCTGAGATCTTTTTCCTTCTTACCTTATCAAGCTTGACTTCTATTTCCACCACATCTGTTTCCACCTCATCTATGGTCGCCCTGCAAAAAAGGAAAAATTGGAGATTAAAACGCCAGCTTGCCATCCCAAACACAAGCCTCAGTTACTAAGCTAGGAGAAAGCGACACTACTGTGACAGCAGAAAGACAGGATGGGAGCAGAGGAAGGGGAACCCTCTTTGGGTTGAGGTCTATGCCTCATGACGGCTCGGAGAGTCGCTCGGCAACCACGGTTAAATCAGCTTCATTTCATTGCTTTCGTCTGTTCAACTTCTGAACTTCTTCTCTATCAGTTTGGGGCCTCATATTGTAAGTTAGGCCCATGGAGAGATGTTTTGGAGGTCATCTAGGGAGGGAGGGGAAGGAAGAGAGAGAGAGAGAGGAAGGAAGGAAGGAAGGAAGGAAGGAAGGAAGGAAGGAAGGAAGGAAGGAAGGAAGGAAGGAAGGAAGGAAGGAAGGAAGGAAAACAATTCCTTTTCAATGTCCCCTCCCACTTTGTATCTGAATTTCGTTTCACATCGCACTGCACAAATTTCACAGGGTCTAACAGCAGATCCTGAACTTCGGCTTTCGCCATGGCTCAGAGGAAGAGTTCTATAGCATGTGGTCAAGGTCTGTTTTTCCTCTGTTTGAAAGAAATATAGTCCAGAATAATCTCCAGCATAGGTTAGCAGGCTACCCCTCCCCTCCCCAGCCCCATAACGATGCGCATACACCGAGGCACTCCAGAGGAAAAAATATTAATAAGCCAAGATCTGGGACTTAGAATTTAGTCAATCTGGAAGTACGGATGAGCCAAAAAAAAAGAGAGAGAGAGAGAGAGAGAGAAAAAAAAATAAATAAATGTTTCTTCTGGAGCTCACTTTTGGTGGTAGAAGCAGACAATGGTTCCTTTTCAACTGTCTCCTGGAAGAGCAATAAACCATGGGGCCAACTTGTCCGTCCACCCACCCACCTACCAACCAGCCTGGCTAAATCCCAGGGGTTTGCAGCTCCTAATTGTGTGGTTTGTGATGCAGAAGAGAAGTGGGGGGGGACGTGGAGCTTGTGAAATGTCTTGGCTTGCTCTCTTCCAGTATCCTGACGTCACACACGCCCCTTGTTTCCACCCTCTGGTCGCTTCCTCTTCTCAGCATCCATTCGTCTCGGCAAGCTCCATTCTCCTTCGCTGAGTGCATTGCCCCTCTGCTGAAGGGGGCAGATCCTCGCCTTCCTTAAACGGAAACGTATCTCGGCTAACCAAGTAAAGAAGACCCTGGTTTCTATCCAAGCCATTTTTCTTGATTCATTTACTCCCACGGGAATTTAAACAGAAATACTATCTGTTGTAGTAGTAGTAGAACGGGGAGGACTATTGAGTAGGTGGGCCCTCACCGTGGATGCCTCCCTTCAAGTCCAAGCGCTTGTTTTCTTAGGGTCTGGAATTCAGGGACATAGGAAGATGCTTTACACCAGTGGTTCTCAACCTTTTTAATGCCGCGACCCCCAACCGGTCGTAAGTCGAGGACTAAACCGGTCGTAAGTCGAGGACTTTCCCTGCCCGGGAGCGCCGCGCATGCGTGGTTCCGCCCCCTGTGCCAGCCGAGGCATAGCTGGCAAGCGGCAGAGACGGAGCAGGCCGACCACCAGCTGGCCCAGCCCAAGGGAGGTAAGGCACCCGCCGGAAAAGGGGAAAAAAATGGCGGACAGCCTTGCTTGGCGACCCCCGTGAAATGGTCGATCAACCCCAAATGGGGTCGCGACCCATAGGTTGAGAACCGCTGCTTTACACCAAGCCAAATCACCCATCCATTTTCCAAGGTAGACTTTCCCCAGTTCTATCTGGAAACTTCAGAGGAGAGCTGAAGGATCTCTTGGGCTGTGTGGTTCAAACAGAGGGTGCATCAAAGCAGAAGAAGACCTTCTGTGGTAGGGAGAGGGGTGACAGGGGTGGGCAATTATGGGCCCTTTATGGACTTCAACTCTCAGAATTCCCGAGCCAGCGTCATTCCTGAGTTAAAGTCCGTACGTCACAAAAGGGCCATAGTTGCCCACCCCTGATCTATGGCCACCTTTGTTGAGCCCGTTCCTGGCTCACTTGTGTGGTGGATCCAGAACTTTCATCCCATCCCACAGAAAATAACTGGACAGGAGTAAACTAGGATCCAGGGACTCCCAGCTTTTTGGTGTTCTCATGCTTGGAAGGTGAAATTGTGTAGGTATCGATCTGGCTGTTTTCTGAACCCAGCGGAGAGAGGAACATAAGCAAATCTCCGGATTAGGCAGTTGTTCCATAGAACATTTTGTGTGTATCTGCTCTATGTCTGTCATCTCTGTTAGTATTCTCCACCTGAGTTCAGGTTTAGAAGAAGCCACCACTTCTCTTTCTCTCTCTCATGTCACACACACACACACACACACACAAGAACAGAAAGACTTCTCCAAAACACCTCACTCCCAATTATTCCCAAAAGATGCGTTCTACCTCGTCCAGAAGAAGGCATTTCCCATCTGATTCAGCTAACACCTTTCCTGCTTTGGATCCTTTTTGGCTATCCAAGTAAGCCAGACACTCAAAGATCTGCCTGGCTTCCTACCATCAGGGAGAAGTGGGGCAGAAGCAGACAGAAAGAGCCTGGCCTTCAGGAGAGGAATCCAGTTGTGATTGGTACACAGAACGACAATCTATAGACGTGACAGTGGCCCAGGGGCAGGAGAACTCCGTCTGGAAGCTCTCGTGAAGGTGAGTCAGAGATCACTTCATGATCACGGCATCCGCAGGAAGGGAGAGACACGTGAGGTTGCGTGACCTCTTCCCCAACTCTCACAAGCTTTGGCATGCTGGAAAGATGCCTTTGGTGAGGTTGGAGGAGACTTCCAAGAAAGATTCAGCGAACAGGAACACCAGAGACGGTGAGCAAGTGCCCAAAGGAAGACGTTTCGAAGGAACCAGCTGCCATCCCGTTGGAGAACATGGCCTGACCATATTATCAGTCAAAAAAAGCACCTGGAATAGAGCCTTCCGGAATCCCAGAACCGGGAACATCCCTGTCTTGGCAGATTTAGAGGTAGCGACGGAGGTCAAAACAGCCATGCCACCTGAGAGACCTGGAAATTGACGGCACGAAGAAGCTTCTAAACGCTTTTGTGGCCCACTGCACCCCATCAACCCAAAGCTAGACATTCTCTTTATCTTGAATTCCGATAAAGACTTCTGGTCCTTTCCCAAGAGATCTGCCACGCAACTCAGTACCATTTTAGGCTTCGGAAGGCCGGGCCTTCTAACACAGTAGATCCAGCTCGCCTCTCCGAGACCAGCTGGAGTCCTTTTCAAACCCAGATTGACTTTGGCCCCCCGCGGCACTCCCAAGCCGGATGCCTGCGATTCCTACGTCAGACAGTCTGTCTCTCCCTGACGGGGCAAGGCAGCACCGCTCGATTCCTGCGGCCCAGTTGGCAGCAGCCCCTTGGAGTCACGACAGGGTGCCAGAATACCCCTCTGAGCAAAAAAAAAAAAAAAGACACTCACACCCAGACAACTTGGCATCCAGACACGTAAGCCCAACTTCAAGAAAAATAAGCATCACAAAAACTGTAAGAAACGGGAGAAAACGCTTCGAGCCATTAATCACCGATCTGGATTACATAAGACAGGCGGGATCTGGTTTCGTTCAACAACAGGGGACTGGAAGAAGCAAAACAGAGGAAGGAGCCGTGTGGTTCCAGGGAGGACAGCGGGCCTTTAGCTCTGTTTTCCCACAAGACCTTCAGAAATGCCTGCTAATTTTACAAGGAGAATAAACGAAGATTTCCATCTGCCGGACAACTACATATAGGTAGTCCTCAAATTGCAACGGTTCATTTAGGGACCATTCCAAGTTACGACAGCAAGGAGAAAAGGGACCTACGACCGTTTTTCACACGTACGCCCCTTGCAGCGTCCCCAGGGTCACCTGATCAAAATTCAGACGCTTGGCGACTGGCTTGTACTTACGACGGTCGCAGTGTCCCGGGGGGGTCACGCGATCCCCTTTTCCGGCAAGCAAAGTCAACGGGAAAGACCGGCTCATTTAACAACCGTGTTACTCCCTTGACGACTGCAGCGGCAAAGCTCACTTAACGAAGGTCTCCTTAGCGACAGAGATTTTAGGCTCAATTGAGGCCGTAAGTTGAGCACTACCTGTACATTGAGCCCATGCAGATAGCTCGGGATTGGCTCATCTGGAGTTAAGCAGCTGAAAAGTGTCCAGGTCAAATAGCATGACTTCTATCATTCTGGAATATATATATATATATAGGAGGCCTATTTGAGGCAGTTATCCCCTGTCCGCTGGCAGTGAAGAGCCACAATCTGGACCACATTTGATCCATCCTTCTTGAAGCTGGCTCCAGAGAGATATATTCTGCATCTGCCTGCTTCTTTTTTAGCCTCCTTCCCCCCCCCCCTTCCCCCCATATTGTTGGCAAGGCCGGGCCTTTTTCTGAAATACAATCATGAACGTGTTTCTCCTGGGCCGATTCCTTCTCGCTATTTTTATTCTCCTGGCCTGGAAGTCACGTGGGCTCTGCATGGAAATCTTTTCCCTGTCTTGTTTGGCTGGGATGCTTCCGTGAAGGTTTATCTCGGCTGCAAGGGCTGAAGAGAGAAGCACAAATGCCAAGGGGAGGGAGGGAGGGAGGGAGGGAGGGAGGGAGGGAGGAAGGAAGGAAGGAAGGAAGGAAGGAAGGGAGGGAGGGAGGGAGGGAGGGAGGGAGGAAGGAAGGAAGGAAGGGAGGGAGGAAGGAAGGAAGGAAGGAAGGAAGAGAGGGAGGAAGGAAGGAAGGAAGGAAGGAAGGACTTTTTAGAGGAGGAGGAGGAAGAGGACAAGAAAGACAATGCTGAAAATTCTAACAATGGCATCATCGCACGATGTTCCTGCACTTTACTTTACCTGCCAATGTTAACATATTTCAAGTCACTCAAGAGAAATCTCTGCTTGGAAGCATTTCATTGGGAATTTGAAGGACTGATTTGGAACACCCCCCCCCCCCCCCCCCACTCCCAATCTCTCCCCTG